GAACTTCGAGAGGGTTGATAGTGCTATTTCGGCGAAAGCTAGCATGAATGGGAAGGAAATCTTCCCTGGAGCTGGCCCGATTCGGATCAACTTTGCTAAGCCACCTTCTGCGTCGAACACCCCGGGTCACGACGGAGTGTTCCCGAGTCCAAGCCCTGATCCCTTTGCCAAGAGCCAAGATGGAACTGCTTCTGGTGGCATTGCTTCCACGGCTGATAATGCGGCAAACGCCTCGAACGCGGCGAATGCAGCGCCGGCAATCGCACCTTTGCACGAAATGACGGCAGATATCCTCCAAATCGTCAAGTCCTTTGGCGCCACAGACGAAGACACATACCGTATCTCTCACAATCTTCAGCAAGCTATTCAGTTCAATACGTTTGCTGACGAAATTCCTCCAATTCGAGAGCCCACACATACAAGAGTGCATGATGCGCCGAAATTGAGGGATATCCGAAAGCGTATTGACAATCAAAGTTTGTCTCAAGGGGATATAGAACACATTGCCACCGAGATGCTTCCTGAGATCGCCGAACTATCCTCGGACTATCTGGGCAATACCGTCGTTCAAAAATTATTCGAGCACTGCTCAGACAACATCCGAGATCTCATGCTAGCCAAGATTTCTCCGCACATGGCAGAAATCGGTGTTCATAAGAACGGTACCTGGGCAGCTCAGAAGATTATTGATGTGTGTAAGACGCCTCACCAGATGACCCTGATCGTTCAGCACTTGCGAGCCTACACCATTCCGTTGTTCCTAGACCAATACGGCAACTATGTCTTGCAAGGATGTCTCAAATTCGGCGCTCCATTCAATGATTTTATATTTGAGACTATGCTCAGTAAGATGTGGGATATTGCTCAAGGCCGATACGGCGCGCGAGCTATGCGGGCGTGTCTTGAGAGTCATCATGCTACTAAGGACCAGCAAAGAATGCTTGCAGCAACTATTGCGCTCCACAGCGTACAGTTGGCGACCAACGCGAACGGCGCCCTTCTATTGACCTGGTTCTTGGATACCTGTACATTCCCCCAGCGGCGTAGTGTTCTAGCTCCCCAGCTTGTCCCCTACCTTGTACATCTCTGCACACATAAGGTAGCGTATCTTACCGTTCTGAAAGTCATTAACCAGAAGGCGGAATCAGATGCAAGGGACGTCATTTTGAAGGCTTTATTCTTTACTCCCAAGGATCAGACGCTAGAGGCTATTTTGAGCGACCACTCATGCGGTGCTACATTGATCTTCAAAGTTCTCACCACGCCGTTCTTTGACGAGAATATAAGGGGTCAGGTGGTAGAGAATGTGAAAAGTGTTCTCGTCCGCATCAAAGCACAGCCTAATCAGGGCTACAAGCGTCTGATGGACGAGGTTGGTCTATCTACTCGCAGTGGTGGCGGAGGAGGCGGATCCCGCGATCATTCTGTGGGCAACAACCCGTCGACTGAACGGCAACGACCCGCATCTCGCCAGGCTCAGGCTAACAACGCTGCTGTGCAGCAAAATTCTCAATATGGGAACCAATATCTGAACCCGCTCAATCCTACCAGTAACACCTCGAATTTTGATATGGGCGGTTTCCCGGTACCCAGAAGTGAGAGCACGGAGTCTGGAATGTCTGCATTCCCGTCGTATGGACCTCAGGGTCCTATGTACAATGCAACTGGCGGATCGATGGCACCACCGGTTAACATGCAGCAATTGCAGTACCAGCAAAACATGCTCCCGCGCGGAACACAGCCTATGAACAACTACTTCCCGCCTATGCAAGCAGGCTTCGGAGGGTACAGCAATGCAAACCCCTCGATGGATCAGTACCGTGGGCAGAGCGCAGCCAACGGCAGTCCTATCCAACCGCCCGGGGCCCCCGCCGGCTTCGGCCCCCCTGGCTTCGGAATGGGAATGGGCATGGGAGGCTATGGCTACGGCAATGCAATGCCCTACATGCAAGAGCAACCGGTCAACGCCAGGCGCGGACGCGTAGGTCAACCCCCTCAACGGAAGAGGTCACCTCGACCGTAATTTCCGACGGTGCTGACAGATGACTTCAGAGATGATCTCAGAGGTCATCTTGACTGTTTCACACGAGATTGGATGGCTCATCTACGTCCTTGTGCGTTTTACTATTCCGAATTGCATGATTGTACAGATAGGGGTGTTGGTAGGCTTGGCATGTTTGATTTATATTCTGAAGTTTGTGGCAAAGCAGTTGTGGGCAATCCACCGAGACCCATCTAACAGCACGGCCTGGTACGCTGTGGAGGGCTGGAAACCACCCTGGCAGTACTTGGATCTCTCTATACGGTTACCTTCGTTGAAACGTGACCGTGACCGTTGAGCAATTCTTAGACGGGCTTTATCTCGCGGCTATGTTTTGGAACCGCGGTGAGTGTTTATGGACGAAGGGGTATTCCGCCACGTTTATTATGTGTACGAAGTCAGTTGCTCCGCGCGGGCCAGCCAAAGTTCAACCGGATTTCTTGAACTTTGACGCGATTCTATCATCAGCAGGCGATATAGAGAAAAGCAACTAGGGTTGACGAAGCATATGTGGCACGGAGTAAGAGATGTGTGCGGAGAAATTGGATCTCTGCTCTAAAAGGCTCTCCTGTTGCAACGGAAGACTTGCTCGCAATTGGCTTTCGCTTCGGCTTCTGTGACGACCCCATCCTAAGCAAGGGAGAGACACCAACTCCTGAGTGGCCAGAGGGACTAGCATCACTAAGCCGAGTAGATGGATAGGAAAAATATTTTAAGAGACGAATGATTTTTATTTTTTTTCCATTTTCATGTCGCCTATTCCGGCTTCGTTCTTTTCGTGATACTAGAGTTGTGAATGGCGGTGTGAGAGGAGGTGCTTTCTCCTTAACTCTAACTGGAGGGTTGTTTGTCACCGCTCCGACTATGTGATTAGGTAGGCATTCAGACCGACGATCCTGGCATATTTTCGTATGGCATACATACTCTCTAGTATCACCTTGCGGACACCGACAACGCGATACGGCGAAGTCACAAGATGACCGCCTTTTCTCCAGTGTACTGTTTTACTTTCTCTTCGATGCTTTCGTAGTTTATTGTTTATCTTGCGCGTGTACTTAGGTATGATTAGTATGCACCACGATGTTGTAGTAAAGCCTCGTTCGGCTATAATTCGATACTGCCGAGACATATTGCATCATCGCCGGCAGTTTTTGCTCGGGCTTACTAGCTAGCTAGCTATATGTAGGTAATGAATACTCACTTGCTGATTACTTGCATCCTCCCTTGCCTTGCAATGCCCATTTTGTCGTCGTCGTCGTTGTTGTTGTTGTCTAGGCTAGACTCTACCTACCTCTACAACCACAAGGCTACCTACCCTGCGTACGTACCTCCCGCCGGCCTCCCGCCGCTGCTCTTCGTGACTCGCGTAGGGTCTAAGTCGGTAGGTTAGGTACTTAGCTAACCTAAGCTGACATAGGGGCAGGGTAGAGTTTAAGGGGGCGCTGTGCTTATTGCTTGTAGGCTGGAGTTAGGTATGTATGTATGTATGTATGTATGTATGTATGTATGTCGTAGATAGCATGTAGGTTGCGGGTAGACACGTACATACGTAACGTATATATATCTTAGGTAGGTTAGGTAGGTAGCCAACTATTAATTACTCCTATTCCAGCCTCCTTATATGCTATCTACCTAACCTGGGCACTATGTAGCGGCGATGATCCATGGATGATGATGGCTTGGGTAAGTCGAGTCGACTAACCCGCCATCTCGATTTGGGCCCAGCCCGCCGGGACTCGGGGTTACGGAACTCGGTGTAGATCCGGTTGTATTTTTAATTATTTATCTTTTCCTCTTAGTTGCGTACCCCGTTCGAGACAAGACACCGCCGGTTTGCTTGCTTGCTTGCTCGTCTCGCAGAACTGGCCTAGGTTGCCTGCTTAGAATTACCTATAATTATAGGTGCCTAGATATATATAAGTTCCGATCATACTGTCGGGTTAGTCAGTCTTGATTCTTAGTAGCAGCGCTATGTGCTAGAGGGACCAGCCACTTATTAAAAACCGGTCAACGCAATATAAGTCCGGGAATTACAGGGAGAGAGAAAAAAATCTGCGTTTCCTACTACCTAGTATACGAACAGGCGACTATAGTTACTAGGTAAAGCTAGCTCTCTAAGTGCAACGATCCAGTTTTCCCTCCCCTCACGTAAACGCCGATCCGCGATCCGCCTGTCCACTCGCATGGGTTTTTGGCTTTCTCTTGCTTGCTCTTGTCTTGTCTTGTCTTGTTTTTTTTTCTTTTTCCGGGGCTCCGAGAAAAGGAGGGACGAGACAATGATGTCGAGAGATCGGTCGGGCAAATGGAATTAAAAAAAAAACAAAAAACAAAAAACAAGAGAATCAGGTCAACGAGGAGAAAAAATCCCTGGGCCCGGTCCACACTCGCCGAGTTATTCCCTCTCCGACTGCTTTCCTCTGGACTGGGCTAGCCTGTGGAGGTTGTCGAAAAGAAACCAAAATCTATGTTGACCGAGGGCTTGCAAATATGAACAGAGTGAATGAATCCGTCGAAAAGAATTCCCCAGCATCTCGAGAGTTTCGTGATTTGCCTGTTCCTACTAATGGCACTCCTCTCTGCCCTTGCCTGACTGCACGCGTATTCGGTCTCCCCCGTCCTGAGTACAAATACACAAATTGAGGCCGGCGAAGACCATCTTCTAGTCTTCCATTATCGCCTTTGAGATGATGTTGAATGTATGATGCACTGTGACCCGTGATCATGTCGAGAGTCGAGATAGGCCCCATTTCAAACAGGGTCCCAGTGGATATGATATCCGTTTGCAAATGCATAAGGACTAGAATAGCTTAGGTGGTGAAATCACCTTTCGCAAATATTTCGTTTCCAACGGCTTCCAAGGAAACCCGATAACTGAGAATCGCCATGTCATAATGCGAATGAAATTAATGCAATTTCCGTCAAATCATGTTGACGGAGTAAAGAAGATTAGTACGATCCGATACCACGAATACGAAGCTTCGATATCTTTCATGCTCGGTTCGCAGGTATCGAAATTCATATAATTCCATGGTCTGGGGCAGACAAGATTCTGCCGTAACCATTTCAAAGAAAACGTAAAACATTGCAAAAGCAACAGCGTGCGCGGCGTACGGAGGGATGATGTTTTTAGTCGATCTGCATTGTAGAATCATCGGCAGTGGGCTTGCGATCATGATCGTCAGAGTCACGAGCGGCGTCTTTACTCGGAGTGCAGTTCTTATCATCTGCAACAACAGTCTTGTCGTCTTCAGGGCTCTCGTTTGAAAGGGGTATCTCAAGCTTCGTATCTTCGTGTGATGCTTCATTCGCAGCGCTTTCCGAGCTATGCTGATTTCTGCCCTGCAGAGTCTGGCGGATAGCCTCTCTCATGGAATCCGCTTGAAGAAGCATAGCCTCAAGACTAGCAGTGTCAACCGAGGACAGACTACCGGCGGCAATGCGTGTAGCATCCCCGGCTGCCATGAGGGAAAGAACACTAGGACTAGCTTGGGACTGTATACGTTATTAGCCTCACAATATGAACAAAGTGTATGATTTGGCTTACTATCATGGCTTCGTGTAATATACTGAGACCATCGTTAGGACCGCCAGCCAGCTGAGCAAGGTTCAATGCCGCTTGCTGCTCCTGAAGAGTCCGTGCATTGGATTGAACCGCAGGAGCAGGGCTAGACGTACCAACCCGGGTAGAGCTTTGTTGGCGGTTCTGGCGTATACTAATTCATAGATTAGCATCTTGTTAGTTAAAAAACGCGCCTTGAGTTATCTTACCGGGAGATGAAATCCAGTTTGATGCCCTTTGCGGACAGTCGGTGGACCTGGCCAAAGCCCTTGTGCCGTCGCCAGGCGTCTGCATCGTCTTCGCTATCGTCGTTCTCAATCTCTATCCAACCGTCGTTGGCCATCCCTCTACCGTAGCTCTGCTCGATGACCGGTGCGTTCTTGATCTTGCGGTGGCGATGTGCCGGTGCCAGTCTTTCAGGCAGCTCGCTAAGCATGTCGTCAACGTGGCACGGGCAGCGCCAGGTCCGAGGGACGGGCGGGACGGCCAGAGGCGGATCTAAGCATTCAAGATGCCAATTGAGCCCGCATACCGAGCAGGGAATAATGGGACGGTTATCCGATACTCCCTTCTGGCAATGGTGACAAAGCACTGCGCCATCCGCGTTTCTGACCTTGAAGAAGTCAAAGGGCTCATCGACACCTTTCTTGTTCGTCCTAGAAGGGGAACGCATTAGCTACCTCCCTACCTACCTAGGTACCTAGATATACGAAGCAGGGCAATTTAAACTTACTTGGGCTTAGGAGGGGCAATCTCTTCATACTCGCCCTCGGGCCCCGTCCGGACACCCTCAAAAAGATCTCTGATGTCTTCGGGAAGACGAAACGCTCTGGGGTTCTTCCTGTCCAGGACAGTGAATAGGGAACGCAAGGGTCCATCGTGCTCGCTGAAAGGTGGGCATTGGCGATGCTTGCATTCGTTGCAATACCATTCATCAGGCATGCGGCCTTCGTCCATCGGAGGATCTATGCATAGGAAATGGAAGGAATAATTGCATCCATCACAGCAGACCAGTTCGCCATTACCCCCACAGGTATAGCAGGAGTCGTCATTTTCGTCCTAGCGGATCTCGTCAGCATGAATACGGACACATGTCACGGGTAGCTGATGCAGCAGTTTCGGGTCCAAGCGGGAACCAAGAGGATCCAATCGCCACCGCTCCGAATTCGCGCGTTTGCAGTCCTAGGGCTAGGCCTCCCTTGGCCCGCCGCGGAATAAAGTCGCACAAGCGCACATGGTATATGGGAAGAGGAGCGCGATTGTCTACGTCCGTAGAGACGAGGGCAATAAGGATAGAATTTCTGCTCACCTGGTTGTTCGGTGGTCCGTTGCCCACAGGGCTCGGCCGATCACCATTACTACGAGGAATTCCCGCAGAAGTGCCCTTCTTTTTCATCGGTCTATCATGTACAGCAGGCGTTGGTTAGTGAATGCTCCCTTGCAACGTAGATATAGGCCTCGCGAGTAAAGTGAAGGATTTCCACGTAGGAATTAAGTTTGGCCCGATGTGAAATCATGTGGTGCCACATCGCCACTTGACTGGGCCTTGCTTTGTGACAGCACACCTCATTCGGTCGGACCGCGCTGTGATAATTAAACAACACTACAACACGACACGACACGACACGACACAACGAAATACAACGCAGCAATAGATTAGGGGGAAGTGAGGAAAGGCAACTCACGAATTCTTCACGCGCAGTCCTGCTCGGGGCTTCTTGTTGGAGCGAGGGTTGGAAGGCGTCGCAGCACGCGAACCGCGGGCCGAGGACGGCGGCTCCAGATCGGCAGCTCTGAATGACAGCGCAGTAGGTGAGATGGAATCATCAAGGTCGTCATGATGTCTCTTAGCCGCCCTGGCAGCTCGCGAGCTCAAAGCTGGCGTCCGCGATAGGCGGCTCTGCTCCGCTGCATGAGGAGGCGGCGGCGGAGGCGGAATAGCCAGCTCGAAGGGTGAATCGTCAAAGTCAAGGGGCTGGCGGATGAAGCTATCTTCGCAGATGTCCTTGGTGGTACTGGTATTCTCCAACTTCTTGTTCAACTTTTTGCGAACAAGCAGATCAGAATCATCTACTTCTCCAAATCTGCTTGTAAACTTCAAGCTGGTAGATGCTTGCTGCTTGTTCTGATGGTGATGGGGCGGATGGGGCGGATGGGGGGAGCCGTTAGCAGTAACAACAGCGGGCATACTCGAATCACGAGAGGGAGGGTGTGAACGGGTAGTGTTTTGTGAGGGCGGATGCTTGGGTGATGCACCATTCTTCTTTTTCGCGGCGGGTTTCTTCTGGTGGCTGCTGATTGGCTGGCTTGAGCCTGCCGGGATTTGCGCATTATTTGGCTCGGCAGCTATGGGACGCGCGACACCCAGGTTGTCATCCACCTGATCCATGTACTCTTCATAGTCATCGGGTACATCGTCAGGAACTGAAGATAGAGATGACGAGCTGCTGACAGATCCTGATCGCGGTTTTCGCGACTTTGGAGACTTTCGTGGAGACTTTCGTGGTGATTTTTGTGGTGACTTGGTGCTTGTGAGACCTTTAGGACGGCTGATTCCATTGCCATTGCCATTTCCATTGCCATTGGCTTTGGCTTTGAGTTGAATGGAAAGGTTGCTGCGTTCCTTTGCCATGCCATCTTCATTTTGATCAAAATCAAAATCAAAATCTTCATTCTCTTCATTCTCTTCATTCTCATCAAGATCAAGCTTGACTTTCTTACTGACATGCTCATCAGCCGTGTCTTCAGGAAGAATGCTTAGATCCATTTTGACCAGCTCTGCATAAGGTGCAGGCTTCGGCTTGTGAGGCGTAAAGCGGCTACCCGTCGACGGAGGCACAAAATAGTAGCAGCCTTTGTTATCCTTTTTGCCGTCCTTTTTCTTGTCGGATACAAGCCTGTTGAACTCTTTGATCGTATCTATGTCTGCTCGTTGGTGATAGATATCTTCAATCATAGACACAAAATGAGGGTCAGATGAATTTTCATCGTAGAGTAGACGAAGTGCCCAGGCTGTGGGGTAGCGATAATGCCTAAGAGCCTCGTCTACTGCAGCCTCGACAACTTTATCTGCAAATTCTTTGTCGGGTTCACGATGGTTTAGAATAGAAGGAGGGGGATGAAAATGAGGAGAAGAGATTGCGGGTGTATTTGTTGTATTTGTTGTATTTGCTGTATTTGCTGTATTTGCTGTTGTTATGGTTGCGCGGTGAATGTGAACAGGTGAAGAATCAACTGGTGTAGGACTGGGTCGTGCACTTCGTCGCCTAGAAGAATGTCTTCTTGCCGCGTTGCTCGGGGTGACTTGGTCGACTTGGTCGACTTGGTTGACCGGGTTGACCGGGTTGGAAGTTGGTCGCACCTTTGATTTTTTAGGCACATACTCTTCATCTTCTCCATCGTCCATAATTGAAATTGGAAGGAGAGGCTGGGATAATGGCGATAATGGTGCCGCATCCACTGCATCCACCGCGTCTACTGCGTCCACCATATCCACCTCAGCACCCGCCTCTTCGGCCGATTCTTCTCTTCTGCTCGGTATCCTCTCCCTAACCGTCGGAGTAACGTATGGTTTCTTTAAAACAATCCGCGTCTTCACCGGAGGAGTTGGCAATGCCTCTCCATTTACTGGGGATTTCTTATGCATAGCTGCCTTTGGTAATGTACCTAGAGGAGCCATATTTTCCACCACTCCGCCTCGAATCAGTCCTGCCTCCTGGAAGCTGGCTTTGTTCTGCACTGGCGGTTCGAGCCACCTTTGCATAAAACTCCTTTGACCATTATAACCGGAAGGCGAGCTCGAATGTAACGGACTGGAGAACCGCGAACGGATGGATTTGTGGTTGGAAGCCATTTTTTTTTTTTTTGCCTCCTTCTCTCGCGTTTTTTTCTTTTCTCTCTCGACTGATTTTTAGGGGAGGGGGGTTGTAACACCCCTTTTGCCTGGACCTCGCTGCGCTCAGCACTGCGCGACACAGTATTGAATTAATTGTACAGTAACTATAAAAGTATTAGATTCGTACTCTTCATATATTGATAAATTCGCACTCACAATTGTTTTACGCTGGATCCAACGGCAAGGGGATCACGTCGCGCTTTTATGATGATGGTGTTTGTCCTACGCGGTAGGGCGAAGGGAGGGTTATGCGAGATTCCAGAGCTCCAAAATTCGGAGTGGACGGTGGCCCGCCACGACCAGCACGACCAGGGGCAATAACATACGCTACCCGGGGCAATGCTATTATACTGTACCCCCTCTAAACCCGCCTGGTCTACCGTCTACCGTCTACTGTGCTTAATACTTAACTAACGCTTACTACATACTTCTACTTCTACTTCTACTTCTACTTCTTCTTCATAAATCCCTAGGTTATGTTAGATCATTTATTACCAAGAATTCTATTATACTCTTTGCAGTTTTATTTCTTTTTACTACCCAAGTTACAGCTTTTTTTAACCTCGAAACTTCAATTTTCTGGTTTTCCTACTTCTAGTTTTCCTACCCTTGCTTTCTTCTTACTCCCCCTGAATTCATCATATATCCTTCACTTTTAAGAAAATAAGTAGGAACCTTGGACGTTCTCCTGTCTGATTTAATCACTACTGCTACTCATCATATGCCCCCTTTTCAAAGGACACCTCAAGATTTCCACCTTCAACTTGTTTTCTCCCCACCTTTCCTGCTGCATCTACCCCCTTCCCTATTTTTGTTGCCTTAAAGATGATCACGCCACCCGGGAGCCCGGGGTTCTGACTCATATACGGAATCAGAAGGTATCTAGGCGAGAATAACACTGTCTTACTCCCGAGCCTACGAGGTCTGCCTTCTTAAATCCGCCGCGGCACCCAAGCGCAATAATAACTATCAACTTTGGCTCCTATTTTTCCTTAGTGCTCACTATACTGCCTGGGCGTTAAATAATCAAAAGCAGAGGTACCAATCAGCGTAGGATCGGTGCGTCAAGCTTTCTCATAGCATTAGAGAGACTTCCAGTTAGGATAAATTCCACATATGTGACACGTATCTCAACGTATCTCAGCTCAAATCTTCTTCTCTTTTTGTTTCTTTTTTTCCCCTCTACGGGGACTAATGATACATAAGCTGAGTCCTATGTAAACAGTTTCCCTCCGACTGCGTGGAGTCCACTATACATTTTTCTGTGCCAGACCGCCCTGTGTGGCTCGAAGCAACACGCCATAATGCCGAACTGGATAGGCACGCAAGTCATATCGAATCGATAAACGAAGCAATTCGGAGCCCACACCACTCGCCTGGCGTAGTGTCACCTATGATCAAGGCACTGCCGGTTCGCTTAATACGTGCCCCCGGAAGAGTGCGCTGTAGACAGGCCTACTCCTCGCTCTCATCCTCGCTCTCCTCGGCTTCTCCATCCTTCGCCTTAGCGGCCTTCTTTGCCGGCTTCTTCTTCTTCTTGTTCTTGCTCTTTCCCTTATTCTTGCTCAGGGGCTGCTCTAAAATCTTGAGAATCTCCTCATCAGTAATCTTCTTATCTGACTGGAACTTGCTTAGATCTAGTGCAGGCGGCGCACCGAGCTTCGTAATACCATTTTTGGTAATGGCTTCCTTATCGTTAGTAATATGAATGTTAAGAAAGATTTCTTAGACGTACCGAGCGTAGTTAATAATCGGGCCACTTGGGCACTATCCTTGTCACCAACTAACTCATACTGTCGTAGCACGCCTTGACGGACACCTTCGTACACTCCGACCTTGTACTTGGTATCTCCACCTTCCTCCTCGAGTTGTCTCAAGCTGAAAGGGAAGTGACCGAATTTGCTCTGGATAGTAGACAACGTCTTGCGCGCGGTTTGCGACTTCAGGATGTATGTATTGTTCGTGCGGCGGAGTAGCGTTGCCCGCTGGTCGATCGTTTTGACTTTGCCAGAACCCAAACTCAAGCCCATCTCCACACCCCATACCTCGCCTATTTCAGGGAAGCCCTCTCCCTTAGTACCTTCTGCGGGAGCAATCACGATTTTTTTCTTGCCTTCAATATCATTGCGGTCGAATAGCCAGGAGGTTGTGCTCTCTACCAGGTTGCACTCGTAGCTCTTGGCAACCTTGTCTAAGAGAGAGGTAATCTTGGTCTGAGTAGGGGGTTTCACTGCTGCAGCTTTCGCCTTCTCCTCATCGCTTCCGGCTGTTAGTAATCCGGGGGGAACCAAGAGACGTAGGAGGAGCTCATTGGCGTAATACGTGGCGAGTATTAAGTCGGCAGAGCGACCGGTGATGACATCTTCCGCTCCCTCCTTCGGCGGAACGATAATTGTGTCGCAGACAATGGAACCAAATCCGTCTATCTGCGCACCGAGCTGGATCTTTACAGGTTCGCTTGCCTGAAGCTCGACATTTGCTTCGGCGCTATCGGATGCCAAGGGGGTATAGGGAGTCACGTATGAAGCCGGAGAGACAGTCGTGGGGTGGGAAAAGCCTACACAGATATGACATAAGCAAATATTTGGGTGCGCAGAGGGTCTGTGTAATATCTGATAGTCTTAGGTATCTGATAGTCTTAGGCACTTACCCTTAAGCTTAGTTGTGCGGTAGACTTTAGCAACCTCTTCTTCAATGAGCTTGTCTCCTTTCTGGCAGATAGTGACAACCTTCTCGCCTGCAACACACAACTTGGATACGGCGGCCAGAACTTTCTCCGATATAGTGGCTGCGACCCTGTACTTGGTAAGGGTGTCTGGGTTTGCTAGCGAGTAGTCTATGAGTTAGATAAATTAGCTATTGCTCGAGTTTACCGAGTCTCGTGAGGTCCAACATGATACCCCAAGGAAGAGTCGGACAGAACCGATGGCGGGGTAATTCACACGAAGCTCTTAAGAGAAGAAAGGAAAATATAATTAGGGATTGATGATGATGAACGAACCGGTATCCTTTTCGTCGGACATATTTACCACCTAGCCAATTATGCTGACTATTGCTGGCTGGAGAAGAATTGGGTTGGCTTCTAGTTTATGGTAAAAAGGTGAAGCTTGAAGTAATAAGAGCTTGAGGTAGTAAGAAGTGGGAATAGGTAAGGCAGGTTAATGGTTAATAAGGTATTTTGGTATTTTCATTAACTGCGGGGCTTTGTGGGAGTGCGAGTAATAAGAGAGAGAGAGGGGCAGCACCTTTTGAGCTGGCAGCTGGTGACGTTCTTTACTCTGCATTTAGTTCAGGGCTGCAGGTCCGTGTGCCCGGACCGCCGTTAGGCTTGTTGCGACGGAAGGCAAAAATCGAGTTATGATAATACTCCATAATTAAATTTATTATATGAAATACAAGAGATTATGTATTTAAGAGTATATTATGCTGCTTACGTTACAAACGCACGGACGTTAGCCTAGCACTACATAGGTAGCACCTAGACAGTTTTCAGTAAGGTACTTGTGATTTGGCTGGAGAGACTGCGAAAATAAATGTTCCTTTAACTTATTCGGTCGCGGTTCGTCGCGTGTCCAGCCTTCTTCCGTTGCGGTTGCTTCATCAGCCACGGTCGAGACGTTCTGCTCTCCTAAAAAGTTGAGCGCCTATTGAATAATTCATCGCAACAGCACAACAACAACATCACAACCACGGTGCGCAGTCAATGACCTTCCTGGAATTTCCCGATACCGTCCCCGAGTCCCCGTGCACTGCAGCGCCAATCCACAATTCCATTCGTCTTCTACAATACAAGACAGGATTAGACAGGACAGTAGGAGAACAGTGAGAGAGGATCGACAAATTGAAATCGCTCTTCTATCTTCTATCCCCGTCAAGTTTTGCCTGAGATATCTTACTCTATGTGATATTTCAAACAGATAGTCATGGCAACTCAACAGGATGCAGAAGCGGCTCCAACAAGTGCTGCCGGTTCTACTGCCGGCGCGGTCTCTTTATCCAAACCAGATCGTTCTTCTACCTCTACCCCTAAAAATAGATCAGATGCGCTGGACGATTCACACACCGGCGCTCATCTGGGTCGCGACAAAGATGCCTTCAAACAAATACTGATAGGACAGGCTATTGCCCGAGATCACATACACTCTGCTGCTATGGTTAGCGACAAAGACCGGCAAAACGAGCATAACAAATACCAATTTAAGATGATCAACGACTATAAGCTTTTACGAAACGAATACAGAGCATGGTTTACACCCAGTAGACTTTTCGGAGAGGGCTACAGTGGTTATGGCAATGGGAGAACAGAGATCGGACAACAGTCGCGATTGATGTATCCAGCTCAGAAACTCAGGCCGGGTAAGCGACAAGCGCCGCCTCTGAAATGGAAGAGGAAGGATATGAAGCAGCAGGCCGAGCAGCATGAAGAGTTAGTTCCCGTTCGGCTAGATGTAGATTGGGACAAGATCAAGTTGCGCGACACCTTCACGTGGAATCTCCATGAGAGAATTGTCGGTGCTGATCTATTTGCGGCGCATTTAGTAGAAGATATGGGACTCAAGGCGCCTGCCGCTCAGCCCGTATTCGAGCAGGTTGTGCAGCAGATGCATGAGCAGCTCAACGACTTTTACCCCTTTGTATTCTCCGATGAAGATGCGTTAGACCCCGAGTTACCTTACTCGGCTTGGAAGAATGACGAGATGAGAATATTAGTCAAGCTTAACATCACTATCGGGCAGCATACCTTAGTAGACCAGTTCGAATGGGAGATCAATAACCCTCTCAACTCGCCCGAGGAATTTGCGGCGAGCATGGCCAAGGACCTTGCACTCTCCGGAGAGTTCACCACGGCCATTGCTCACTGTATCCGAGAGCAGACGCAGCTTTTCACACGGAGCTTATACAGTATAGGACATCCATTTGACGGCAGACCAATTGAGGACCCGGATTTAATCATGGCTTTTCTCCCATCACCGCTGCCTTCCGTGTTCCGGCCGCAGCAACAGGCTAAGGAATACGCTCCGTATCTATACGAGCTCAGCGAGGCGGACCTAGAACGGAACGAGATGGTATTCTCCCGAGAGCAAAGAAGACAAAAGAGATCCATAAATAGACGAGGAGGACCAACGCTACCAGATCTAAAGGAGAGACAGAGGACAATCCGAACTCTTGTTGTCTCTTCTACACTGCCAGGTGCAGCAGAAAACGTAGAGGAAAGCAGACTCTATAAGCGAGTCGCGGGTGCGCCAGGCGCAAGCACAGGCAGGAGGAGAGGACCTGGAGCACGCGACGGCGATATATCAGATTCCGACGAAAGTGACGATTCGGGTCCTGATTCACCTGCCGCTTCACAATTAACCGGTACGGCGAGAACGAGAGGTATGAGAGGTGCCGCAACTGCTGCACAGCAGCGGATGGCGAACCTCGGCCGGTCCGAAACCCCCGAAGCCACGATACATCACCACGAAACTCGGACATCAAGAAGATTTGGGCGTGAACTAACTAGGGAAGATACCGAAGAACCCCAACAACTCCAGGTAACGCTTAGGGTTACAAATAAAGAGAGATTACGGAAGATTCTATTACGCGATCCCAGATTGAAGCAAAGCACACCAGGCAGATCACAGACACCATCTCAATACCATGCCCGTGCCCATAGTGCCTCTGTATCGAATATCATGCCTCCTCCCCCTTCTACTCCGAACGCCTCGGCATCGGCAGCTATTGCGACAACCCCTTCCAATACTATACCACCAGGACAAATCGGCCGAGTTGAAGCCCCTGCATCGGTAGCCGGGGCGCCTCCCCCAGTTCCCGTAAGACATTTTCCCCACCCATCCCAACACCACAATCCCTCGATCTTTAGATTCTCCAGCAGTCGTTATGATCTGTAGCTCCGATCTATGACTTGGCAGCCCCCGACCCCCCTCTCTTTTATATCTCATCTAGCGCTCATACTCACAACCTCTAACAGCCCCCTCCTCCCGCATGGCTCGTCACGGCGCTGGAGAAGTTCAAACAAGAACCGGCGTATGCAAACGACAGGTTTGAAGGAATCATGCGGTATAGCTCGGTCAATTCCAACACGGGCGCGCCAGTCCCCCTGCCTCAGCAGGGCGAGCCGATCCCCCCGCACGTGCGATTTTATTTCCTCCCGCGGATCCGGTGTCTCGACTGCCCGGGTAAGCTGTACACACCGGGGCCAGATATATCAGCTTCGAACTTCGAGGTCCATCTTAAGAACAAGGTACATAAAGAGAAGGTGGAGCTCCGGCTGGCGTTGGAAGGCAAGGCGGGCGGAGTGCAGTGAATATAAACGATGCATGGCGTGTGTAAAGAGGTGAAATGTGAGCAGAAGAGCCTAGGACTGCAAAATGTTTATAAGACATGGTGTGGAGTTACGGATTGGAGAATATTATCCTTCCCAAGTGGCCCCTTTAGATATGCGCCTCGACCAGTTTGGTACTGGTTAGTTACTACGGGGAGTTATTAAAATTTGCAACGGGGAAGCGCGGAGTTTGTATTAATATCAGCTCTCGGCGTCGTATAACAAGCCTTCTCTCGATAGAGACGCCCCATGTTGAAAACAACTAGTTGTTTCGATAGTTAATTTAGCTAACCTAAAGATATGAGGTCGAGTAGGTCTGTTCGAGAACTTGTCTGATGGCTATATGAGATGAGATGAGATGAGATGATATGATGGGTGTTTCTAAGTTGACTATCTACATATGTGCTTATATCGTCTGATGTATCTTGGGCTCGAGAAAGGTCCATTTACAATATGTATTGTACATACATACATGTATAGACCAAGTTATGTTAGGTACATACCTAGGTTAGGTAGTTAGGTGATACCTAACTTGAACTTGGAGGTTAAATATTATCTCCCCCCTTAAACAGCTCTTAAACAACCGGTTAAACCCAGTTTGGCTAAGGAGGCTTGGCACATATGCTTACCTATGTAGGCTAGTGGGTCACTTGGCCATCTCCTGCAGGGATCGACCCTCGATAAGGCCGATAAGGCTCATGGCGGCGCAATTCCCATCAGAGTTTCGTAGCCTTGTTCTTTCCGCGGTGTAGCAATTAGAGCATACCACTTTCCCTTATGTACGTTACGTTTTTAGTTTGCGATGGACATATTTTCGATAGCAACTTCTGATACAGACGACGACTTAATGCAATGAAGCTCGCCTATTACGTGAATGTGCTCCTTCATTCTCTTTACACAACCTCTTCTACTTAATATTTCCTTTTCTTTACCTTTACCTTTACCTTTACCCTTACCTTTACCTTTAGCTTTACCCCCGTGTCGCATCGCGTTGCCCGTCGAAACAAACACTCACTACCTTTTCCAATCTTTACATCTCGATTCGCCTCGTCTTATCTTCCTTAAGCTCTTACGTCGCCCACCATGGATTTACCTATACGATCCATCGACGAGCCAGGCATTAAAGTCCCGGGCGACGTAGCTGCCGGTCTGCGCCAGGATGTAGCCAACATTCTTCATCGCAACTCGACCGCGTTTCCCGGCGCACAACCCGTGAGCTTTACGAGAAAACACCTGGATGAGCTAACGAGAGAGGAGTGAGTGCATATTCTCGCTTTCAAACTTGTGTACAATTGTCGGTTTAAGGGTCTAACGTATGTGTCTTGTTCTATAGTTATTATGTATGCGAAAAATCAGATGGCATTCGATATCTGCTATACCTAGCCGCCGACGAATCCGGCCAAGAGAGCCACTATTTGATCGATCGCAAAAATGATTATTGGTATATTCAAGAAGGTTCTCTACACTTTCCCCTCCCAGGGAATCATCAAGCTTTCCACAGGGGAACTGTTCTGGATGGAGAATTAGTTGTAGATACCCTAAGCGATGGGCGCCAGGAGCCTCGATATCTAGTCTTCGACTGCCTCGCGTTGGATGGCCAATCGCTGATGTCGCGAGAACTCTCAAAGCGGTTGGGTTACTTTCAGGAACAAGTCTTTAAGCCATATAAGAAACTACTCGATGAGTTTCCAGAAGAGAGGCAATACCAGCCTTTCTTCATCGACCTGAAGTCTATGCAAATGGCATACGGTATTCGCATGATTTTCGAGGATGTAATCAAGAATCTCAAGCACGAAAATGACGGCTTGATATTTACGGCTCTGCATAGCGAGTACAAACCTGGCACCGACCCGCACATTTTAAAGTGGAAGGATGCCGATGAGAATACCGTTGATTTCCGGTGGAAGTTGAAGTTCCCCTTGGTTGAGCCGGACGAGCAAGAGCGAGCCGAGGGCATTACAGAGCCCTTCATCGACTACGATAGTACACCTGCGGTAGACCTGCTAGCAAATCACGGTAGTGGTCAATATCATGTCTTTGATACGCTGCACCTGGAAGATAAGGAGTGGGAGATCCTGAAAGGACTGAACGAGGCTCTGGACGAACGAGTAGTAGAAGTATATATGGACAGCCAAAAACGATGGCGTTTCTACCGGTTCCGGGACGACAAATCAGATGGGAATCACATCTCTGTCGTTAATAGCGTTATGGAGAGTATTCAGGATGGAGTAACCCGCGATGAGCTCCTAAATCATAGCAAGAGTGTGCGGGACAACTGGAAAGCCCGGGAGAAGGTTCGAAAATGAGCGTGTATGGTGAATACCACCCGGATGTTTAGAAAGGGGCATTTGCAGCCCCTCTCCTTATCCCTTGGCATGTAGCAATTCTTGGTTAAGACACGACAAGCTTTTTGCTTTTATTTCTAATATGTACAACCTAGAGAGGCGGAGGCTATTGGACTAAAGATGACGATACCACATAATAACACGGCACCCAGGTTAGGAAAACCACAAAACGTGTGGTCCGGATGGAGTTTGGAGAATATGGTTCTTGTTTAGCGACTTGAAAAGCATCTAGGTTAGACTCTTCTATAGGTAGAAATTACAATGTTTCTTCTACTAATACCTATCGTGTTGGCTGAGGTGCTCCCGTCCAGCATAAATAAGTGCAACAGATACGGTGTACTGCTGTGGCGTGATCTAGTTTATTATTCAAATCTCCTCATGAGTTGTGATCATAACTACTTGACACGCTATTGTCGCAGTATTTACATATATATAAAGAACTGTTCCAACTAGGCTTGAGAATTTCAGCAAGTGCTCATCGTATTATACACATCGATATCATATAAGACGTAATCAATATTTCCTCTTTACTGATTTCCTTTTATTTTCTTCCAGGCTGACTAGATTGACTGTAACTAATACACTCTTCTCATGGTGAGAATATCTAGAAGTCGGACCAAGATACATTTCCATTTCTGCATTATTGTAGCAATATCTACTCGTGATTTTTACAGAAACTCAGGTAGAAATACGCCAGCAAAAACATTCTTAAGAGCAAAAACACTCCATGCCCCTGAGCATAGCATTCTGCAACATCGTACATACATATACCATGTCGTATTGCAAGTCCACTTAACCATTACGCACGCAACTCAAGATGAAGAAGGGGAGCTCGAAATTATCGCACCATTGCAACGAATTTTTCACTATATGATCTTCTCTTCTCCCTACACGAACAAGGGTATAAAAAGGAGGTTGAAGGTATTTTAACAGAAAGCAAAAACAACAACTGTAAGTCAAAAGACCTCATCCGCGAACCCGACCCTGGATCAACCACCTATCTCGTTATCGTATTTTCGTCTTGTAATCCGGAGCTACTACTCCTACACATTGGAGAGAGGACAGAAACCTGGAGACGAGTCATGAGCTGTAAATTCCACTTCGCATATCAGTCAGGATTTTCTCCTCCAAACCCTAGTGCCTCTTCTGTTGCACTCGTGTCCACCGCAGCAACCAGTCTGTTGAGTCCCGTTTGTAGTTATGGGCCCGCCGCCTTATTCGGAACCTCCACCCTCATCTTCATCCTGCGTCGCAGCTCTCCTCGATCTCGTAGATCGAGTGCTAATGGGTCTGGCCTTAGGAACCGGTTTTGCTTTTGCCTTGGATGTAGCAGGCGATTTACCCTTAGCCGTGGTCGCTTTTATAGCAGGCCGCGAGGCTAGGACTTTGGTCTTCGAAACGGGAGACGAGGTAGCAGCGGCACGACTTTTCCTCCCGTTCGTTCTCGGCGGCGGCGACGATGGAGGAACTTCCTCCTCTTCATCACCAACATCGCTAAGCTCGCTTTCGTCTCCCTCGGGTTCATCTGCTTCTCCCTTTTCGGTTGCAGGCTCGGCCTCGGGCTCTTCCTCAAGGTCAGATAACTCTGAGGAATCTTGATCTTCGTTCTGTACAGGATTTCCGCTGCCGTCATAGTAGTCCCATTCCGCTACGCCCGCAAGCATGTCTTCGTCGTCTTCTGACGAGTCTCGCTCGATATATGACGAGTTCTTTTTTGAGCGGCCACTACGCCTACGGTCTGCAGAATCTGCGGCGGGCGATGATGACGCGGCAGCTTTCTTAGACTTCGATGAACTCTTTGCGGATTTAACAGCAGGCCTTTTTGATGAAGGTTTTGTAACCTTCGGCGTTGTTCTCGGCCTCGTGCCGGTCTTTGGCACCGCTGTCCTAACCCTTTTCGAGGCAGGCTGCCCTTCAGTACGTTCGTCTGCACCTCTACGTTTCTGCAAACCAGTAATGTTAGCTCGGAACATAATAAAGAATATGTAATGTTTTGTAGCTGTACCTTCTTCTTATCTACTGATTTTAATAAGTCGTCCAACTGTTCGTCGAGTCCTTCTGGGAGGTATTGCTTCTCGGCAATCTCTTGCGCTACGCTATGGCTAGGAAGCGCCGTATATAGACCTATGGGTAAACCAACCTTGCCAGAATATGCCTGGAAAGTCCAATTCTTCTTTTCCTGCCATTTTCTTAGGATGCTCTGGGCGAGATCACTGATGACGTAGAGTCTTTCGCTCTCCGTAGGAGCAATACCATCCCTAGTCTGCTTTACGCGTTCGGCGTATTTAAATATCATCCCATAGTTAGCTTCTGTAGCAATGTTGCTGACATAATATAGCAGGTATCTAGCATGATCTATCAAGTCGTCTACTTCCGTCCCGTAGTCTGGATGATGCGCCAATAAGGAGATCAACCTGCCCATTGTCGATTCCATGACGTTTTGTTTGACGTCTCGGAAGAAGCGAGCTCTAGACCGTATCCATGTTTCAATCTGGCTCTTGAATGCCACATCCGGTTCGAAGGCCGTCAAAAAGATCATGGTGTAGAATCGAGGTCGCAGCTTGTTTTGTACGAGATACTTCTGGAGTTTCTCAACAAATAGGCGACGGACCATAGCGCTTGGGTCTTGCGTTAAGAAGGCCAGCTGGTTAAAGTCGGCGTGCGAAAATATTTCCTCCAAGTGCTTCGAGGTACACAGTTTCAAAAAGAGCTGGCCAGCAAGTAGCCGCAGGCGGGCTTTGTGGTGTTTAGGGGTGTCCTTAGTCTTACATAGTTCGCCAGCTTGCTTTAGGAGACTTCGAAGAAGCTTGAAGACTGGTACGGCCAGCTCTTTTGCCTCTTCTAAATCTCGAATACCTCGAAGGCGATTGACTACTAGCTTGAGTGCCCAACACTTGACTTGACACTCCTCATCAAGTTCAGAGTCGGCAACCCACTCAGGGTCTGATTCTTTAGCATCTGTACGAACTTTA